AGCAATGATTGTACATTGAATTTTTTATTGCAATATATGTAACTTTGGAATATTCCTTATTTTCTCATCAACTGGGTTTTGATTGTTTTCCTATGTCCGTCTTATGTCTCAAATTTCACACCAGACAACTAGGAAAAATGGCGGACTACAAATCCCCTCTTACATAAAAGAAGAAAATCAAACTCGCATATGAAGACATTGTGTTCAAACACACTGTGTAACTAGATGGATCTGAAAACTGGATTGTCAGTTCCTTCAACCAATCCATGTCAAATGCGTTTAGTGACCTGTTGAAACTGCACACATCATAGGTTTTAGCGTAGCGTCGATGTGGGCTAGCTTCCTGGTTCAGCATCAGTCAGTAACTGGCTGTACGTTTACAAAACTGGTTACACGAAGTGAGTTAAAGAAAATGTCATTTGTACAAATACAGTTCCTGGTAGGAGTTATTTGTATGCGTTCACATTAAAGTCCCATAGAAATGAATATAACCAGCTGTCATCGAGCGATTCACTTGTCAGATGTTAACAATTCTCCGGGTGACGAATTTCAAACGGGGGTACACGCGATAGTTCTACTGTCACGGACAACCGCGTGCATAAAATCCACTTGACTACAAATGAATTATAGATAAGTATTGTCCAAGTTGTCAATTGTCTTTTTATAGAGATCAGAGTAGCAACAATACCTACCTGTATCCCGGTACGGCAAAATGCTCGTATCCAATTTCGCATCAAATCTCGAATAGATATCTATAGTACTGCAGTAGAGTTATCTCCCTTGGAATACCACAAAAACGGTTCTCAATCATCAGATAGTCAGTTACACTTGAACCTACGTCTTGAAAAGAGGGCGAAATTTCTTGTATTTTTATATTTTTATGTGTACATTTTGCTTTTAGTTCATTTATTGCAAAACAATATCGGAAACTAATGGGATACAATTTATGGGGACAATCAAAATAGCTTGGTAGGAGGGAGGGGCTGAAACTAGACTGGTTCCCGTGCGTTCCTGTGACTGATTAAGCTTGAACGGCCGCACACTCCGGCGCAGTGATGACTTACCATGGAACTCTGGGTAGTAGTGAATGAAAGTGCAACAACACCAAGCGCAAAGGGAGCCGGGAACCAGCTTCTCAACGCTGCCAGCAGCATTACACTCAGAGTTACCTCCCATACCTTAAGCACATACATGTATGTCCGTTTGCGTAAGCTGGTTCCCGGCTCCCTTCGGCGGCGGAGCTAGGGGCCGGTACACCGGTATATCGGCGGATTTTAGGTTGTCCTCGGATTTGCCTGCAGGAAATGTCATAACGGGTAGAATCTAGATATAATTGACGAAAAACAACAACATGTCAAATGTTACTGCAGCATCTTATAGCCCACTGTCTCATCGTTTATCGATTACCGATAAATATCACATTGTTATCGTATTTCGCACACACAAGCAATGTCAACTACTGGTTTTGTTATAGTTTATCTGGGGGAAAATGGCAGTTGATAAAAAGAACACGAATATTAAACATGTTGAAGTTTTCTTGACTGTCACAAAAATGGCCATGATTTGAAGATGTTTTAAAGATATTTGAAACTATCTTCACAGTATACATATTCAGTGTACGAAATAAGGCCCGTCCGACCGCCCGAGACGGGCTAGACTTCTGACGGACGGCCTAAATTTACAGCTAGGCAGCCCGATGGTCTGGTAAAAAAAATAGATAAGATGTTCCATACATCTGAATAAATCTACCACTTCTTGAAATCTATTTTTCAAATTGAGCGTTACATTTACACTTGACAATTACTGTTTGAACGTTGAACCACCATATCGCACCTAAACAGTAACTACAAATGGAGTTATTTTCTTTGGATTGTCTGGTCTGGTTAAATCCATATTGGGCTGGTAACATTTTGAAGGGACGGTCTGGGTTGACTGAGACTGAAGCATTATGGTTGACGGCAGTACCCGGTCTGGGTTGACTGAGACTGAAGCATGATGGTTGACGGCATCCATCTGGGTTGACTGCGACTGAAGCATGATGGTTGACGGCAGTACCCAGTCTGGGTTGACTGAGACTGAAGCATGATGGTTGATGGCAGTACCCGGTCTGGGTTGACTGAGACTGGAGCATGATGGTTGATGGCAGTACCCGGTCTGGGTTGACTGAGACTGAAGCATGATGGTTGACGGCTGTACCCGGTCTGGGTTGACTGAGACTGAAGCATGATGGTTGATGGCAGTACCCGGTCTGGGTTGACTGAGACTGGAGCATGATGGTTGACGGCAGTGCCCTGTCTGGGTTGACTGAGACTGAAGCATGATGGTTGATGGCTGTACCCGGTCTGGGTTGACTGAGACTGAAGCATGATGGTTGATGGCTGTACCCGGTCTGGGTTGACTGAGACTGAAGCATGATGGTTGATGGCTGTACCCGGTCTGGGTTGACTGAGACTGAAGCATGATGGTTGACGGCAGTACATGGTGTGGGTTGACTGAGACTGAAGCATGATGGTTGATGGCTGTACCCGGTCTGGGTTGACTGAGACTGAAGCATGATGGTTGATGGCTGTACCCGGTCTGGGTTGACTGAGACTGAAGCATGATGGTTGATGGCAGTACCCAGTCTGGGTTGACTGAGACTGAAGCATGATGGTTGATGGCTGTACCCGGTCTGGGTTGACTGAGACTGAAGCATGATGGTTGATGGCAGTACATGGTCTGGGTTGACTGAGACTGAAGCATGATGGTTGATGGCAGTACATGGTGTGGGTTGACTGAGACTGAAGCATGATGGTTGATGGCAGTACCCAGTCTGGGTTGACTGAGACTGAAGCATGATGGTTGACTGCTGTACCCGGTCTGGGTTGACTGAGACTGGAGCTGTGATGGTTGATGGCAGTACATGGTCTGGGTTGACTGAGACTGAAGCATGATTGTTGATGGCAGTACCGGTCTGGGTTGACTGAGACTGAAGCATGATGGTTGATGGCTGTACCCGGTCTGGGCTTGACTGAGACTGGAGCTGTGATGGTTGACGGCAGTACCCGGTCTTGGTTGACTGAGACTGAAGCATGATGGTTGATGGCTGTACCCAGTCTGGGTTGACTGAGACTGAAGCATGATGGTTGATGGCAGTACCCGGTCTTGCTTGACTGAGACTGAAGCATGATGGTTGATGGCTGTACCCGGTCTTGGTTGACTGAGACTGAAGCATGATGGTTGACGGCAGTACCCGGTCTGGGTTGACTGAGACTGGAGCTGTGATGGTTGACGCCAGTACCCGGTCTGGCTTGACTGAGACTGAAGCATGATGGTTGATGGCTGTACCCGGTCTGGGCTGTCTGAGACTGAAGCATGATGGTTGATGGCTGTACCCGGTCTGGGTTGACTGAGACTGAAGCATGATGGTTGATGGCTGTACCCGGTCTGGGTTGACTGAGACTGAAGCATGATGGTTGACGGCAGTACATGGTCTTGGTTGACTGAGACTGAAGCATGATGGTTGATGTCTGTAACCGGTTTGGGTTGACGGAGACTGAAGCATGATGGTTGCCGGCAGTGCCTTGTCTCGGTTGACTGAGACTGAAGCATGATGGTTGACGGCAGTACATGGTCTGGCTTGACTGAGACTGAAGCATGATGGTTGATGGCTGTACCCGGTCTGGGTTGACTGAGACTGGAGCATGATGGTTGACGGCAGTACCCGGTCTGGGTTGACTGAGACTGGAGCTGTGATGGTTGACGGCAGTACATGGTCTGGCTTGACTGAGACTGAAGCATGATGGTTGATGGCTGTACCCGGTCTGGGTTGACTGAGACTGAAGCATGATGGTTGACAGCTGTACCCGGTCTTGGTTGACTGAGACTGAAGCATGATGGTTGACGGCAGTACCCAGTCTGGGTTGACTGAGACTGAAGCATGATGGTTGATGTCTGTAACCGGTCTGGGTTGACTGAGACTGAAGCATGATGGTTGCCGGCAGTGCCCTGTCTCGGTTGACTGAGACTGAAGCATGATGGTTGACGGCATCCATCTGGGTTGACTCTGACTGGAGCCTCTAACGTCTCCTGCTACTGTGGTGATGATGATATTACATGACTCAACAGCTGCCCACTGGTCCAAGACACCTTCATTCAAGACATCAACCTGCCCTAGTTGAAGATCGTCTATTGCACTACTCATGCAGGTTCTGTCTATATCCCAGTTCTCCTCTCCTTCAGGTCTGCAGCTCCAACTGCCTCCACTCCACCAGTCTCACAGCCTTGATACATCTCTTACACATCCATGTCACACTCATATTGTCGAGTCTGGTCTATTAACTCAACCCGATGGTACACCGGCACTCTTCCGTCGCGTTTAAAAGAATACACTCAGAGCTACAGGTAACTTTTGGGGTCATTGAGTTATGTACTCGCTTTTGTTCATCTCAGTTGGGTATCCTAATTATCCTTTGAGTAACCAAATAAATTGTACCCACCTCACTTAAACTTAATTGGGTATTTTGCCATTTTTCATTAATTGTAAAAATATAGTAAAGTTTAATTGTTGGTTTACTTGTTTGTTATTTATATTTGATCTGTAATATGAGAAACGATAAGGAAGACTGCAAGTTGCCAAGTTCATGTGTTGAAATAGAACCTCTCAATATATCTCAGTTATTTTATCTATCCTCAGTAAAGTCCATCACATGTTTGTGTGTACACATGTAAGATCCCATTTATTGAGTATTTACAAATATTCAAGCGTACTTGTACGCACTAGACTTAATAGGAATTAAGATTTCACATAAATATTTGCGTAATTTACGCGGATACGCAGCTTATCTGTACCTCTTATACACGATGTATCCATTGATACTACAGTTTCTGAAATCTATCTCCTGTATATGAACTGCACAGAAGATCATTTTAGATTTGTCATGTTTGTCTTCCAAACATTTCCAAGTATCAGTGTTTACTTGCTTTGAGGAAGCACGGTGTGCATTGTTTGAAAGTTTTACCTTCATATCCTGGACCAAACGAATCCCAGAGTTCTTGGCTTGACGTCATCTGCCCATTCCTCAACTGGGTGCCGTTGTACAAAGCGATCTTAGCGCTAAGGTGACCGTTACCCCAATTCCTTAACATAGACTTAAGGTAGTCATAGCACAAAGGTTGTTTTGTACATCGGCACCCAGGTCTCTTAGTGTCAGATACGTTCGTCATGCATCTTTCTTCAGAATGGACATGGAGGACACATTGCGCTGATGGCTTCTGGTCTGGTTTTGGTGTACTTGATGGCATATTTCCGACTGAAGGTGTGATTGCAGTCAAGTGAGTGAGTGAGTATGGTTTTACGCCGCTTTTAGCAATATTCCACCAATATCACAGCGGGTGACACGAGAAATGGGATTCACACATTGAACCCATGAGGGTAATTGAACCTTGGTCTTCGGCGTGACGAGCGGACACTTTAACCACTAGGCTACCCCACGCCCCATGCAGTCAAGTGAACAGGCTTTATCCAACATTTCCGTACAACTGACACAGGACAGGAAATGACCAGTCAGATTGTGTGAGGTTGTCATCTGAAACAGCGAAAAAATGAAATACAACCATAAGCAAACATACACATCTTGGTGCGTGCGTGTGTACGTGCCCGTATGCGTGTACGTATATGCGTGTGTACGTATATGGCGTGGACCAGGCGTCAAAGGCGCTGCAATTGGCTGTGCAACGTTGCTTCCCTATGACCTACCAGAAACATTTGATGTTAGTTGGAATCGTGGTTCGTTTTTGGGTTTGTGTGTACCAAACCCGTACTCGTGGCTAAACGTTTAAGACTATCGGGAATTCCAGTATTTTAGCCCCGGAAAATCACTGTTCTAGTGATGACATACTAGTATGTAGCCATATTTAAGCCCAGGGCTTAAATTCGAAAATGCGCAATATGTTGATAAAATAAAAAGAATTTTTTTTTTAAAAACTCTTTTATCAGGAAACTGGTCTATTTATCCAAAATTGAATGACCACATGGTTCAATCTAACTGCAACTGCATGTACATCATAGGGGATAAGATGATCAATTTCTGTCACTAATAACTGCCCTGTAACTGGTGTCCAAAATGTTCTGTAAACGTGATAACCTCGCAGAGGCACAACTAATGTTAAAAACGTCGAGGGTTGCCATGTGTTTGGAAAGGGACATCACTCTAAACACCCAAGAATTAAATCCAAATTCAAACCCATGGGCTTAAATACGGAAAAATTTTTTTCGCGTAGGCCTAAATACGTGAATTCCCGGTAGCATCACTTCGGGCTTTCCTTCCTCATTAGACTGACACGCAGTGACATAAATGGAGTAACTGATCGACTCTGTCAATTTCTGTTTGTTAACCAAATAAAACATACAAATACTATAATTCTGGTATTACAGATACACAACCTCGCCTGCGTCAATTCAAAAGATAAACGCGAAGGAATATTCAGTCTCGATTATCTGCTGTAACTGATTCCGTTTGGCGTAAAAGGCAAAATATAGATACAAATTATATGGGATTACTGAACGTCAGTGATGACACCGGGTGTTCGCGAAAAGGGTTTGCATGTAGTGACCTACCAGTACCACGCCAATCACACAATTTTCATAACAAAGTAGGTGTTTGACGACACAAAACAGTACACCATTTATTATACGCCACGTATAATTTCGAGAAAATCAACCCAACTGGTTCATACTTAGTGAGATTCCAGAAATGGGGGGTGGGAATTGCGATAACCGCATTCTTCTGAGCGAGCACGCTGACATTGCTCATGTCCATAATGAAAGTAGAGGAGAATATTCAACTTCCTGGTACAGCCCCGCATTTCACCTTGTAACAATCTGCCATCGAATCTTGTGAAATTCCATTGAGACCATGAACTGACCATATCTTATTTATATATCCATGGATCTTCAAATGTGTGTGCACATAAAGAATGAACTGACCAAAGGAGCAATAACGTGTAAACTGACTGAAAAGAACAGGCTCACTTCCTAACTGCGGAGTCTTGAAAGTGAAGGGTTTACAACATAACGAAAGTACACTTCGCTTTTCTTACCTCTTGAGATGAATTTCAACCGGTATTGTTAGACAAATACATGCCGATATACGCTGTTAATGAGTTCTAGATGAATAGTTTGTCCGACTGTTCTGTTATGTAACACGAGTGTGGTTTTAACACCTACCTGTGCAATGGTGTTAGTGTTAATGGGTGTGATTTCGAAACCAACCGCTAATCATGGTTATCTCCCTTTATATACACAAGGGCTAAGCGCTGCTCGCAACAAACCGGTATCTGGTTTTATACATCAGTTTGATATAATACTGTATATCTGTACAGGCATAGAATTACTTCATTACACTTTTCAATGTCCATCTCCTTGAACTTTGTTATGAAGCTTGTACAACAAGCTGATGCCTGCACGTACCCATTATGCTGGAATAAAAAAACCAACCCCCCCCCAAAAAAACAAAACAAAACGGTATTTGATTAGCCTAGTACCATGCCCTAACTTCGTCGAGGCTGCAGGAAGAACAGCTCAGGCCTGCTGAACATGCATCCCTCACTGGGCGAACAATAGGAGCTAAATGATATATCAATAATTGTCCAACGGACGAACAATGACAGAGGCTCTTCAGAATACGTTACTGTTATTTGCAAGTATTTCCGGCTGGTTGGCAAATTTCGTGAATGGTGGGTGTTAGCGTTAGGACAAAACAGGCTTTCACTTTTAGCGAACACCTGGTGTCATGACCGATTTCTGTGATTCATTCATATAATTTTCACAACTATTTCCTTTACACCAAACGGAATATACTTCTGATGATAGTTAAGTGAGTGAGTTTAGTTTCACACCGCACTCAGCAATATTCCAGCTATATGGCGGTGGTCTGTAAACAATCGAGTCTGGACCAGACAATCCAGTGATCAACAGTATGAGCATCGATCTACTCAACTGGGATATGATGACAGGTGTCAACCTAGTCAGCGAGCCTGACCTTGATGATAGTTAAGAGTCAACCACAGTGAGAATGGCAGCTTGGAACCTATCTCGTTGCTGGCAAGGAGTCACGCTATTAATGTACCGGAATGATTTCCTCCCAGACCTCACCTGTGCCTCAAATTCGACGAGGAAGCAAAACGCTGAAGGACAGGCAAAAAACCAGTAAGGTATTTGCTCCCCAAACAATCACACAGCAAATCTCGCTGCACTACTGACATACACAATGCGTTTTAGAAAGTGGTCATATGTAACATGTTGTACTGGGATTACATCTCGGTAAAGAGCAGATTACAGTAACTTTGGGGGCTCAGTCTCATCCAGGATACGTACCCACTCTTTCAGTGCGAGGAACATACTCGCCAGCACACAGCGATCTAACCCACTCAGCCATCGCAGCATTCGTACATGTCCATCTCACAAAAAGAACATAGGTTGTTCTTACATCACATGGAGCATATTGGTTCAGCTTTCTGATCCAGATACGACATGGAACTCCATGAAAGAGTCTTTATTCCATTAGCCTTGTGATTAAAGCGTTGGCGTTGCCGTTGGCGTTCGATTCTCCCATGAACAGTACAGTGCATGATGTCCCCTGCCCAATGGCTGTAATTATGCTGAAGAGGCGTCCAAGTTTTATAATTCCTTGAATAACTCTTTGAATCAGTTAGTCTCTACTTGGCGAGTTATAACGGAGATATGCTTGTCTGACGAAAATACTCTTAAGTCTCGTTTGAATGATAACAAATGCACATAGAATAATGGTACTGACATCTACATGAGATGCCAATGGAAGGATGGAATAATTCCGCCGTCATACAAAATGATAAAAGTAGAATCCATTGTACGATTCTGACAAAACCATAAGCACGCGTTTATAAATCACAATCAAATAGTTACGATACCAAGTGTTCGCGAAAAGGTGAGCACATTTTGCCCCACCGGTTCGGAAATACTATTTATAATAAAGGTAGTCGTTTTTTCCTAGATTTGTTATAGTCTAGTGTTTTAAAGGTAAATATAATATAATGATATGATTTAGTTCATGCCTGTACATTTTATCCTAGCGTTAAGGTAAATATGATAAAATGATTTGATTTAGTTCATGCCTATAATTTTAAGCATAGCGTTAAGGTAAATGCAATAAAATGATATGATTTAGTTCATGCCTATAAGTGTAAGCCAAGTGTTAAGGTAAATATAATAACATGATATGATTTAGTTCATGCCTATAAGTTTCAGCCAAGTGCAAAGGGAAATATAAGACATGCCACGTCGCTGTTAATGTAAATATTCCGATTACGATTTGGCTGTAGTAGGGATGTCACGATACATAAGTTTCATTAATCGATACGTATCACGATATTTTCGCGGCATTATTGCGTAAATTTAGTTTCATTTTGAACATTAATATTTCATATTTTATAATTGTCCATGAAAAGATCAACAGTTTTTATTCTAAGAGATTAAAAAGTTCTAATTTCCCGTCTTTGTGCATGAAAAATAATCATTTATAACTCTCATAACATAAAAAAACCATGATACAAAATGTAAACGATGCAGAAACATATTTAAACCGGTACTTTCAAAACTAAATATCAATACAGCTTTGAATGTATCGATAATTGTATCGTCTTAGAAAAAAGTATCGATGCATCGATGTATCTATGTATCGTGGCATCCCTAGTTACAACCCGTGAAGGTCCGGGGTATAATAGGTCTTCAGCAACCCATGTGCGTGCCATAAAAGGCGATTATGCTTGTCGTAAGAGGCGACTAACGGGATCGGGTGGTCAGTTTCGTTGACTTGGTTGATCCATGTCATCGGTTCCCAATTGCGCACATCGATGCTCATGTTGTTGATCACTGGATTGTCTGGTCCAGACACGATTATTTACAGAGCGCCGCCATATAGCTGGAATATTGCTGAGTGCGGCGTAAAACTCACTCACTCACCCTAGTTACAACGTACATTTACAAACAGACTATCACTTGTCAGCAGCTTGAAGATAACACAGATCAACTGATATAAACATTGGTCTTCCGGACTGTCCTAGAGGTGACAGGTATATGCATGTATTAATCACACGCTGACCAAGATGTGTACTGTTACGGACTGACTTGTTATCAGGCAAAGTCATCTTATCACATGTCTTGATCATGTGTCGTATTACAAGAAAACAATTGAAACTTTCATGTAACGTTCTTGTTAATTTAATCCACATTTTTTTCTATAACTAGACCCACTCCTGAAACATGTAAATGTATTACGTCCAGGTCTGAGATAAAAGTGCCTCGCTTGTCTACCAAAACAGATTCTGTTTGGCGTAAGATCCAAAACAGTGCA